TTCTGCCCAATGTTGTGCTATTTCTGCACGCGTTGTGCAAAAATTAATAAAATTCATATTGACAAAGTCAGAGCCGTAACAGATTGTTACAGTTTTATCTTCTAACGAGTCTTGAGAACCCATCGTTACAAGCGATTTCAGCTTTGAATCCTACAGAATAGAATTTTTAATTCGACTATAAATTTATCTGTTATCTCCTCTCTGACACACAAAGCGTAAGACATATAAACAAATGAAGTTCCTAATAATGCCACTAACACACCTCAGCGAGAACAAACAAAAAGTTTCATACAATGAACTAACTAAATGCATACAATGCTGCATGCAGAAGTATGTCACTTCATTCAAAGTTCTGCTTATTGATTTATAGGAAAACTGATCCAGCTAGGCGTGTTATTTCAATGAATACGGAACTGCCTTTATCTACCATTGGTGCTAGTGGTAGTAGGTGTGATAAAAAAAGCAAACTATGTATGGGACATAAAGTAGGTAATGGTCTATTTATAAATTAGTCAATAATTATTATGTGATGATGCTCTGTGCGTCATTGATATAATTATGGAAAAATTAGAATTCTCTTTGATTATTCGTTTTTGAGCATTTGTAAGTATTCAGTATTTACTTTATCACCAGTATTTACAATATACTATAATTAGTATAATTTACTATATTACTAGTAAAGTGGTAGCTTATGGAAACATCAGTAATGGATACATATGCAAACATTTGTTATTGTTAAAAGAAACACAAGTAAAATTAATACCTTTGGTACTTTTGCATATTTTCCTGTGCGAGTATCTCTTATAATTGCTATGTCCAGCATATCCATCTCATTATTTTGATCCACCCAGTGTAAGTAAAAACCATATTTATCCACTTTCAAAGTCACCGGCGTTGCCACCCCAGAATCCTACGATTACATAGCATTTGATATTATGAAAGATTTATTTTTGCCGCGTGACTGTTTACTATAATTGCTGCATAATGTACTTTCCGATAGTGCCATGTCCAAGTTCATTTATATCGGGAAAAGAAAGCGACGCGAGTTATTATCATGGAATTCTAATTCCTTTGTTTTTTTTTTGGCGTTGCTAAATTAGGAGGAAGCGCTCTTTTATGCCTAAAGTGACCTTTTACATTTATACTTTTACTAGCGCTCGACATTAAAACTGTCGACTACTAGCCGTAACATTAAAAATACACACGAACCTCGTCCCACTTGATAAACTTCTCTCCAGTTTGCAGCTGCTCGGAAACTTCCACCGGCTTTATGTGCATGGTGACACCTGTACCCTTATTGCTTGCCATCCTGACTCCTTGTTACCGCAAAACTTGCGCTCTTCAACACCGAATCTTCTTTATGAACGTAGTGGCAAAGCGACGAGCGGCGTGGAGAACGGCGGTAGCGAACACGCGGACGTTGACCACGAGGATGACGACGACGATGATGATGATAGCGGTGGCGACGGCGACGACGGCGACGGCGACGGTAACGACGACGACGG